GTGGCTGTGGTGGAGTCTGCTCAGCTGGGGATGGCTTTAATTAAAGTCAGGGACGGTTCTGGGAGGTTGAGGCCATGCTGATATGTTCTGCTCCCCATCAGTGCAGAGAGGAAGAGGAGGAGGGAAGCTGAGAACTGGACAGAAGTAAACATCTGACATGCAATCAGCCTGCGGCATAGCTGCTCAGGAAGGAGTAGAACATGGGCAGCTTCATGCGCTGCTGGTCCCGCCGACACCATGCCATCACTGTCCCCTCACTGTTGGCCGTATAGAGGTGGTGGCCGTCACACGAGTACGTCAGGCTGAGACAGGCAAGAGAGGCCCTTGTCATCAGAGAAGGAGCTAACGGAACTGAACTGAATATATGGCATCAAATAAAAACCAAGAACAGCATGTGGTCAGTCCTGTTACCTGATGATGGGTTTGCTTGACTTGGGAAATGTGATCTCTCTCACTGGTTTCAAATCCCAGGTGCTCCACAATCTGAATATATTTCAAACATAAAACATCAATGTGAATTATTCAGTTTCTTGAGAAGAAAACAGGCACATAAACTTGAAACAAGGAGTTTCTACTGACCTGACAACACCGTTCTCCAGCCCACCGGCAATGACATTGACAGACATGCCCTCTGGCTGGTTGGAGAAGGCCACAGAGCAGATGATCTCCCTGCAGTGGACGTGACCGATCAGGTCGCCGTTCACTGTCCACAGGCGCAGGTCGCTGCCGCCGCCCACTGGACACAAAGACAGGAGTTTTGACTCACATCAAGCACCAAAGCATCTTCCAATAATCTGGACATGCGAGACAATAACCACTGAGGCCATGAAGCAGAACATTCCTCACCTGAGTCACAAACTGTTGCAATGTCACCTGTGGTCTCGCTGGCAGACACAGCAGTCACTGGGCTCTTGTGGCCTGTGAGGCTTTGTACATAGCAGAGCCTAAAGAGACAAAAAGCAGCTCAGAGACCACACAAACTCTGCATGTGCCACAAACAACCTCATCACTCACTCACTCACCCAAACATACAAAAGATATGGTTCAATCACCTTCTTCGTTTTTCCACATCGCACACACACTGACCTGTTGAGGTCCCAGAGGATACAGGTGCCATCTTCACTGACACTGATGAGGATGCTGTAGGGTTTGCACACAAACAGGCTGGTGACTTCCCCCGTGTGTCCGTACAGGTGAACCTGAGATTCCACCTCCATTTCTGATGGCTATGGATGGACATTTTCCAAATGCAGACATATTAATGAGACCATAAACAGACAACATACAGACCTGAATAAATGCATGTGATACAGTGTTTGTATAAATGTGGTATCTTGGTTCTACCCTTCCCTAAAAAGAAAACTCCATTAATCAATCCCCAACAGGATTTCCTGAACAGCACTAATCAACTGGTACTGAAACGCCCTCAGAGACTGAGAAACAGGAAATCTAGTTGCCTGCTGGTGGGGGCCGATCAAAGTCTGAAAGCCTTTGTGATGACTGAACTCCCAGACCCCTAATCCCACTTGTAGGCACAGTGGAAATGTGATTCAAGGGCAACTGTGATGTGACTAATAAAGCTGAGCGTTTGAGCACAGCGAGGCTGTCTAAGAGGGGAGGGGGGATAACGAGAGGCGGGTGGGTGGATTGGGAAGGTTAGAGGGGGATGTCGCCATGGAAACCCACTGTGGTGCTGGTGAAGCGGTTGCTGTAGGCGGTGATGACACCACACTTGCTACCCGTAAACAGCTGGCAGCCATCAGGCACCCAGGCGCAGCTGGTCACCTGGTGAAGAGGGACAGAGATAGTTGGACAGAGGAAAGGAGAAAACCTGAAAGCTTACTGGTCGATCCTTGGCGTAGGTTTGTGAAACACTAAGCAGAGACCAGCAATTTCTTTCACTAGCAGGTGGTCTGGATTTTTCTGAGCTGTTTACCTGGTGAAGCTGTGAACACTGAATGAAGTTGGTAGGTGGCTCGCTCTGTTTGCTCTTCAGCCTCAATATGTTGTCTGCGTAGCCCCAGCTCAAGATGGCTGACCACTGGATGTCTGTGCTGTGCATGCTCCGAACGCCTACAGAGCAGAGAGCAGAACATTTGTGGAGTCAGCAGGACATTGCACAAAACCTCCTCTATATCCACGTTGACTTGTGGCGGAGAGTGGGGGGCCTCTTACCTTGTTCCTTGCTGTAAATCATCATTAGGCAGAACTTGCGGGACAGCCCACAGATGGCTCGCGTTGGCAGAGCGAGCAGGGATCCGAACCTCTCCCCGTGTGGCTGGCTGAAGCACACCACTGGGTCTGGAGCAGAGGGGGAGCCCACATACTCGCCCCACTTCAGACCCCTGATCCATGGCAGTGGGCTCTGTGGGGGAGGGAGAGGAAATTGCCAAGTGAGCAGCAGATTGTTTCACAGACGAAGCATTTAGTCATGTCTTCCTCAGTACACAGCAGGCTGCCAGAGTGACTACCACCACAGAGTAGATTACCGGGCAGACTATTTCTTTGGCCTGCTCTCTGGTTTCTCTGAAGGCCAGCTGAACCAGCAGCCCCATGGCTGCCGGCAGC